AGGGAAATAATACTAATTATCCAATCAAAGAGCATTTCTATTTAGTATAAATAGGTGGCGAAATTCCCCCATTTATTATTTTCGTAATAACTTTGGAGCTTATCAAAATTAGAAAGAAAAAAACAATACAAAAATTCTTTGAAAAGTTTCCAATATTTTAGTCTTTTGGAAATAAATAATTGGAAATAAATAATTTGATTTTGATAAGAATTTTAAATTTCCTGTTTTTTTATAGATTATTTTTGTCAATTAATTTTCTTTTCATGATTTCACAAAAAGAAGATTTTTTTTTTACATAACTTGATAAGAAATTTGTTTTTCTTCTAATAAAAATTTGAATTATAAAAAAATCCTGAGTAAAGTTATACTTATACAAGTAGATACCAAAATAAAATCTTGCCACCAATTGGTTGCAAAATAAAACCTTGCCACCAATTGGTTGCAAAATGAAATCTTGCCACCAATTGGTTGCAAAATAAAATCTTGCCACCAATTGGTTACAAAATAAAATCTTGCCACCAATTGGTTGTAAAATAAAATCTTGCCACCAATTGGTTGTAAAATTTCTAAAGTGGTGAAATTACCCCATTTTACTCTGTATAAAAACTACAAAACTCTATTTGAAAAAATTTGTAAAACCTGAAAAAATATTATTACTCTAATCTAATTGCTAAATATAAAAACGACTCAAAACAAATATGGAAAATATTGAAAGAAGTAACGGTGAAACAGAAAACCTGCTCAACTTTCCTTCCAGAAATGATTAAAATAAACAATGTTTGTGTATGTGAACCAAATGAAATAGCGAAAGAATTTGATAAATACTTTACTGATATCGGAAGTAGGCTGGCTGATAGGATTCCTTCTACAAATATTTCCTTTAATGATTTTTTGACAACTTCAGATAATTTACTTTCTCCCCATAACTTATTCTTAGCTTTATCAATTGAAGAGTTTCAAAAAGCCTTCAAATCAATAGAAAGCAATCAGTGCGGATGAACAAAGAATGAACAAATGAATGAAGAAACAAAGCAATCAGTGCGGATGGAATAAACGGAAACGTAATTATTGATTGCTATGAAAGCTTGAACGATATTTTATTTGAAGTTTTCAAAACATCTATACAACGAAGGGTTTTCCCTGATCTATTAAAAATTGCCCGATTATAAAGACGGAGAACAATTGAACGTCAATATCTATCGCCCTATTTCTATCCTTCCTACGTTTTCAAAAATATTAAAAAAATAATCTTTGAAAAGACATACAACTACCTGATTTCAAATAATTTGCTATATAAAAATCAATTTGGATTTAAAAAAATAGTTCAACTGAACAAACAATTATTCAGTTTACACGCGAAGTCTCAAAATTTTTTACTAAATCGCAATATACACTCGGTGTTTTTGTCGATTTATCAAAGGCTTTTGATACAGTTAATTATGATATCTTACTTAAAAAACTTGAGTTTTACGCAATAACTGGCAAGTTGATCAAACGGTTTAAAAGTTACGTTTTTTTTCCTGTTTTTTTTCTTAAGGACTTTTTTAGAAATATCTAGGTATAAAGTAATTTTTTTAGAAATTGACGACTGTGTTCCTCCACTTTAAACTCGTGTCGTCAGCCCTGTAATCTAATCCATAACTTTCGTTATGAAACTTTTAATAGTTTTTAAAGTTTTCAATTCAAGTTTTATCTGTAGAAACTGGTTACAAAAATCAAACAATTTATAATTTATGCATGCAATGCCTCCAAATGAAAGTTGCAGTTTCTTTTAAAAGGCTAGAAACAATTGGAAATACCACTTACAAATAACTTTTAATCAAATAAATCAATTAAATGAATAGAAATAATAGAGAGCTATGTAAGTGAAAATGCATTTCAGCAGAGTTATTAACAAGGCCAAAAATAGCAAGACAAAGGCCAATAGTTTTAAGGCCAAGGCCAAAGCCATGAGTTTCAATGTCAAGGCCGCGATCAAGAATTTCAAGGCCAAGACCTACACATACATTTTCAGGCCATAAAAGCTCTTTACCAAATAAAAAGTGTTTTTTTTTGCAAATAATAGAAAAAAATCTTGTTTTACAAACAAGATCGTTGTGACAAACTTCTTGAACAAATCAATCACTAGAATTTAATCAAAAAGATTTTTCGTTAAATGAACACAATGAAACAATATTTAAAAATTATAAATTATATTTGACAAGTATTTGAGTCCCTGCAACGTCAGCTCCTGTGTAGCGTATCTTTTGTCAGAGCGCATTGATACCCTCATAGAGTTCGTATGTCTAATTCGTTGCTTGAAACTTTGATGTTTCTTAAATGTAACAGTCTTATAGACTATATAGTGATAGTTAATATTGTTTAGTTAATTTTTGTTTTTGGCTTTCATATATATTTACAAATAGATTTTCTAATTGATTTCGTCGAAATCTGCCAAAACTTTGACCTAATTTCAATACATCTGGTTTTATTGTCACAGCACTTGCTACCAGCAGTTCTTGCCGTCCCGTAAGACCTAAATTCAAGTCAATCTTTTTCTGATGTTGTTCTTGAGCAAATCTAACATAATTATTATTATTATTTTTTTTGATATAGTGCTTTTGATTCTGACATACATGTCAGATTCAAGATTACTATTACACTATTTTTAGTAGATGTCAAAGTTTTTTTCTGGTGTTGTTCTTGAGCAAATCTAACATAATTTTTTGATAGTTCAGTAACAGAACTATCTAAGAAGGATAATGAAACTATTGCTTATTAGTTCAAAGTTGGAATTTATAAATAAAATTATTTTAAAAAGTTCTGTTAAATATACATATACAAATATAAATACATACATACATATACAATACATACATACATATACATACATATACAAATATACATACATATATGCATACAATACTTACATACATACAAATATACATACATACATACATACATACATACATACATACATACATACATACATACATACATACATACATACATACATACATACATACATACATACATACATACATACATACATACATACATACATACATATACAATGCATACATACATATACATACATACACAAATATACATACATATACAAATATACATACATACTAACAATTTTTTTAAACAGATTTAGATAAGTTGAATAAAAACTGTAAAATTTAATAATTTTTTTTTTTGCATTTCTTTTATTTTGCTATTTAACAAAAATAAACATACATATATACAAGAAAGAAAAAATATGTCCGTAAAAATAAAGAAGACAGTAAAATCTTGTCAACAATTTTAATTTTTTTTATTAAAATGATCTTTATAAAATAAAGAATTAAACAGATCTTTTCATAGAGCCCCTCTATATATACTTTCAATAGAATATAGGTATTATATTAATAACCCTAATTAGCATAAAACTGCTGCGCTGATAAGTAAATCAAATAAAGATTAAAAACTGAAAAAATAGAATCAACAAACAGGGCCGTTCCGAAGAGATTTAAAAGGGAGGGGGAAGACGTGTCTGTTTTTTGCCGACTTAAGCAAAAAAAAAATTTTTTCGCCCACTAAATTCTCTTAAAAAAAAAAAAGGTACTCGTTTTCCGACATTTGCCGACTGTCATCTATAAATCCCATTTTGCCTACTCCCGCGTCTAATTTGCCGACTAATAAAATTCGTAGGGGGCTAGACAACCCCTTATGCCTCCCCTCGGGACGGCCCTGAACTGAATGACTTTGCCACACATTTAAGTCCTTTTTGATAGGTATTCCATATATTTGGAGTTCGATATGTAGTGTTATATTCAGTATATTTATTAACGTTTTGAGGCAGTTTGTATGTGTTACTTACGTTTGCTCTTAGATAATAGTTTTTAAATTTGACATAGAATATCAAATTTGAAAACTAATATCATTTTTTGTAATTATTATTTATTTATTTTTTCAATTGTATTTTTGATAAAAGTTTCAAAAGATTTGATTTTACCACTTGGTGGACGATAAACGCATCCAATTAAAATACTTTGAAATTTTTTATTTATAATTTCAATAAATAGGTTTTCATAATTATCGTTTCAGAAGCATTGTATGTTTTTTATCTTAAAATCATGCTTTTTTGAAACATAAAGCCCTAACCTTTTACCCTTTTTTTCTATTTTCTCTTGGTTGACTAATAAGTTTATAAAATGGCAATAGAATTTTCAAAATCATGCTAACTCTCTGAAAAAGCTATGACGTCGAACGTGTAGCTTAATTTAATAAAAATATAGTTAAATTATTTTAATTCAAAAAATATTAAAATTCTGTTTTTAATTTTAAGAAAAAATCATTTGTTTAAATCTTTTTTTAAATTTTGAAATGTTTTAACTAATAAAAAAGGTTAAACCATATCATGTGACCTAATATAGACATGGAATAAATTACCATTAACCAATCATGTGATTGATTAGTGCTTTAAAATGGCTAGTAAATAATTGCAATTTAAATCTTGAAATAAAACATAAAATTAAGTTCTAAAGCCTTTAAGTAAACAAAAATAACTCTTGTAAACAAAATCAACTGTAGTAAATTTTTAAAATGCAAACACGAAAGAAAGTTCTAAAATTCTTAAAGAAAAGGTGGAAGGCCAAGGCCAAAACAATCAAGACCAAGGCCGAGGCCAAGAACTAACAACTCTGCATTTCAGGCTTTAAGTATTGAGAGTTTTTTTTTTAATAGATAAAAAACTTTTTTTACTGTTTGCTATTTAAAAACTATTAGTATTTTAAAATTGCTTTGCGGTTTTGTCGTGGGACTTTGAATTGTGAACATCGTAAACAATTTGATGTAAAAAAATTATTTAATTGATTGCAATTTTAGATAATTCTAAAAATCATGTTTGATATTTTTTTATTTTAGTAAATCCGTGTGATGTAATTTTTATTTAACCTCTCCCCCCCCCCCATCCCTTTGAATGTGAAGATCAAATGAACATAAACAATTTTCTTTAATAGTTTATTTATTTATGACCGTTTGAAGGGCCCCGGGGCTTACAACTAATAACTCTTTTTTCGCAGTACATTAAAGTTCACAAATTACGCTGATATACATTGTAGTATTGTTATCGAATTCAGCATGAGAATTTCTTGTATTAATTTCAATTAATTTTTTTAGCTATTAAAAGAAAACGCAGGTAAGTCTTTAACTTTATGAGGTTTATATATTGGCTTATTGTATCAGTAATTTTAAATCTATCTTGCTATCAGCAATAAAAACCAATTCCTAACTATTAATTTGAATCTTGATTTAAAACAAACTTTTACAGTGCGATATCTACTGTTACATTTCACAACTGTTGACACCAGTTGTTACGGCTTACCCTGTTGTTATTATCAGTATTATTGTTGTTGTTATTGTTTTCGTTGTTTTTATTGTTATTGTTATTAAATTAAAATAAATAATCAGGTATCTATTTCAAAATAAATCATCAAATGTCACTATTTTATTAAGGATTATAGCTTGATATTTTTGATATATATTTTGTATGCCTGGTTTATTTATTAATTTATATGCTTTAAATTAGCTTTTAAATTTTTTCTTTTACATAAATTGAATTTTAATATCACTATAATTAACAAAATATATATTGTGTATGCAAAATAAATTAAAAGCTATTTTAAATGATAGAAAGTAGTAATAAATAAACAAGCCAAACAAATCATTTGTTTGGCTTGTCGATGTAGCAGCACTCCCGTGCGAGTCAGGCTATTTGTCAGTTGATGTAGCAGCACGCCCTTGCGAGTCAGGCTATTTGTCAGTCGATGTAGCAGCACTCCGTCGCGAGTCAGGCTATAAGATAGTCGATGTAGAAATACTCCCTTGTAGCAGCAGGCTATAAGATAGTTGATGTAGCAACATTTACGCATGTTTTAAAAATGTTTTTTTAATAAAACAAAAACACTAATAATTAAAAAAAACTTTCTAGTCGTTATTATTGCGATTTTTTAAAAATTTTTTAAAAAACAATTAAATTTAATGTACTTCCGCATTAATTTAATTGCTTTGACATTTCGACGACAATCAAATACAGCTTAAGAGACGAGGTAATTAAAATTGTAGTCGAAAGAGACTTTTTTTACATTAAAAGACTCTTTCGACTACACTATAAGGATATATATATATATATATATATATATATATATATATATATATATATATATATATATATATATATATATATATATATATATACATATACAGGCCTTGTAATGAATAAAAACTGCGCGACGCATAAGCACGACGTGATTTTTGACGTCATTAAATTCTTTTTATTTGCTTTTCATATTTATCGAAATTAAATGCACCAATTTACTTAATTACCGCAAAACTACTTTAAATCATTTATGTAGAAATGTTATTATTTTAAAATGTTTTGGAATGTTTCGTTTTTTAAAATGTTAAAACATTTGTTTATTTTCTCGACGTTTGATACGTTTTGTCTATACTAAACAAATAAAAAACATTATAACTAAACATTTAAAAAAGGTAAAATATGCTAATATTTTATTTTTTTTCTTCTCAAATATGTAGTTTAAAGTTTTTCAAATAATTATTTTTTCTTTTTAAAAAGTCAGCGAGTAATAAACTAGAAATTTTAATATTGTACGATTAAAAACTGTGCAATAGCTAATATTTTTACCAGCGATTTTGTATAATATTTATTAATTTATTTTTATTTATTTTCATAAAGCGGGTGATAAGCACAATCACTCGTATCACTAAAAAACTTTAACGAACGTTTTGAATAGATTTTAAATGTTTACAAGAAACTTTATTTCTAGTAAAATAAAATAAAATGCTAGAATAAAAATCTTATAGGTATAAAAGACATATTTCAGCGAAAAAATTATTCTTAAAAATTATTCTTAAAGATTATTCAAAAAACTATTGATGTTCTATTTTTCAGCAGCTGTTCTTGAGCACGCTTCGTTGAGTTTCGGTAACTTCTAACAAAAAAGCGATTGTTATTAAGTAATTTTTTTTTATATAAATTTTACAAAAATTTTAATAGCTGTACTTTTTATTGAATCAAGTAGAATACGTTTTAATATTAATCCTTTTATTTTTTTTTATTTGGGCTTACCAATTTTTAAAATATTTCCTCGAAATTACTCTTAAATACTTTAAATACGTCTAACAGTTAATAAATATTTTTAAAACTATGGAATAATTTTAAAACCTAACAAACCCCCGTAAAATAATTGTTTAAGTTAAAAATCTAAAACTAAAAGAAAGCATTTTTGTTCAATTTTATCGACAACTTTGCTATTGCTGAATAATTTTATTAAAATGTTAGCTTTATTTGGTAAAAAAAAATATATATATATAAAAATGGATATTAAAATATTTGTTTTGCATAAGACTTTTACGCATAAGACTTTTACATAAGACTTTTACGTAAGTCTTTTACGGACTTACTTAAGGGGATGCCTGAAGTAGATATCTTATATATACACAGGGCTTGAATTAATGCAAAAAAAATAAAATCACATAAATTTTCTATTTGAACCTGCCTGCTTTGAAATGCATTATAAGCGTGTTTCAAAGTACTACGTTGTAATTAAATTAAATTTTAAACTGTGTTAAAAATCATTTTAACTAATATAGCAAAAATTACTGATGAAATCTAAATTTGGTATTTGAAAAAGATTTTATTTCCTTATACTTTATTACTTAAAACAATCTCATTCTTAACATAATCTTTTGTTTCTTTTTCACTTAAACTTAAAACTTATTTTTTATTTATTTCATTTTTTATTTTTTTATGTACTCGGTGTAGATAAGGCAATTTTAAAATATTATAGCGTCTGTATGATATTTTATTGACTACGACATATTTCCGTTAAATAATTATGTCTGTGAATGAAAAAAAAATTAAAATTATACATTTTGCAGTATCATAAAACATAAATGTGTGTAAAAAACCTAGACTGAAGATTTAAAAAAAAAAATGTTTTCTTAAAATCCCAATCGCTTGTCCAAATTAGAATAAGATTTTAATTGGATATGTTTTTTTAGGTAAAATGAACATCATAGTTTAATAATATGATCTGTTCTGATCGTTTATTGGCGCTTTTTTTTAAATATAAGCTCTTTCTTGGTCGGAATTCTAGTATATTTTGTAAAAGTTGATAAAAAATATTGTATTTTGACAGTTATATATAGTTAATATGTGTCAGAATCGATTAGAACTAGGATCTATAGTAAATTAATGCACTTTTTCAAAAGATTTTAACTAAATTCATGTTAATGCCGATGAGCGAAAATGATCCAAAATGGTATTCTTTAGATTTACTATTAGGGGTATTAAAAAGCTTTTGAATGTTATATACAAAAGAGAAAAGTTTCTTCAAATATTAAAAAAACCTAAAGCAAAAAAAAATTTAACATCAAAAGCTTTTGTTTAGACATACGCTTTTCAAATCATGCTAATTTCAAATAAAAGAATTCAAATAATTTGTAAATTGCCTTAAACGGACTACCAAGTCCCGAGACATGTTGTGTTCATATTAAAGAGAATGTTAAAAAAAAACGTCTGAGCAAATTTTTTTTGATTAAAACTAATTAATAAAAGTATACCAAGAAAAACAAATCTTGTTGTTTTAGTCGAAGCTCGTCTTCTCCGTTTTCTCTGGTATTTTGAGTATGTAAAGTAAACGCGATTTATACAGACTTGATAATTTATTCAAGCGCATTTAATTCATAGGAGTTTTAGTGCATGACGTCATCGATTTTTTTGTTTGTTTGTTTAAAACACCGATGTTATTTTTTACATACAATTTCCAAAGCATATTCATTTTTATTATATTTTAAAGTTCTAAAATGTATTTGTAAAACAAAATTAAAAACAAAATAAAATTAAAAACAAAATAAAATTAAAAACAAAATAAAATTAAAAACAAAATAAAATTAAAAACAAAAATAAAATAAAAAATAAAATAGTATTTTATTTGCGCAACTTTTTTTAAATAATCGTCTAGACCACGTGTATTTTGGTTTCTTTTGTTATAAGTTTTTCTTTCAAAATATTAGATAAAATAATTTTTAACCTAAATAATAATGCATTTTTATTAATTTACTTTGTAAATATTAAAAAAAAAATTATTAACGCATTTTTTCTCTGAATTTCAAAAATGTATTTTTTGATATTGAGGTGATCTTATTTCATTATTTATATTTCCATTATAACATCCAATATATATTATGGCGGGGGCTTAAAAATTAAAAAATTAATATATATTAATTTTTATTTTACAGACATACATGGAAACATAATTAACTTTAATGTTCTTAAAACATCTTGCGGAAGAATAAAAAGAATATTTGCGAACACTAAAAACCCGCCAAATTTGCGAACAAACTAATTCTATTGGTTCAAAAAACACGCTGACTAAGCGAAATAAAGTTCTAGAGTATTCTGTTGAAATGTTTTAGAAATTGTATTATTTACGATTTGTTGCGTTTGGAGATATCTAGCATAAATTTTTTTAAGAATATATTATCAAATGAACTATTACTTTAATATTATGGCTCATTCTCGGAGCCACATCTGTAAAGCCGTAAAACTTTTAAACTATTATCATTTGTTTACAAAAATAAATGTTTTATAATATATATTTTTTAAATTGTCAAAATTTTGAAAGTTAATTACAAATTATATATTTTATTAGTATATTCTTAATTTTTATATCTTTTCTTAGTGCTTGGTTTAATTAATTGTTCGTTAGATTTGTAAAAAACTAACGAACAATTAATAAAATAAACTTTTAATAAAGTAAGTAACTATAGTTAGCTATTTGAGTAAAATTTAATAGTAAATATTTTAAAGAATTTCTAAAATGTTTCCAATGACGTCATGCTCTAAAACTCCTATGAATTAAACTCGCTTGAATAAATTATCAAGTCTGTATAATGCGCCTGGAAAATCGCGTTTATTTTACATACTCAAAATACCAGAGAAAACGGAGAAGACGAGCTTCAACTAAAACAACAAGATTTGTTTTTCTTGGTATACATTTAATAATTAGTTTTAATCAAAAAAAATTTGCTAAGACGTTTTTTTTTAACATTCTCTTTAATATGAACACAACATGTCTCGGGACTTGGTAGTCCCTTTAACTACACTGAGTATTT